TTGATCGAGTCTACTGTACCCCTTGACGAAATTATTAATATAGATAATATTTGTCTTCAAGTGTTAAGGAAAGATTAACCTAAATTTTAATGTGCATTTTTTTATTACTTTCATCTGAATTATATTAAAAAATGAAAAAATTCAATAAGGTATAGCCCCGGAATTAAACCAAAGACGTTGTTAAGCATCGACGGTTACTCACTGGTTAATAGATACTACTTCATACTTATCTGTCTGTAGAATTATAAACAAATAATTAAAAAAGCAAATCGGTACTATTTTAGTACCTAACCAAAGTATTATTTTTTCATTAAAAACTTATTTTTCTTTGGCCCTTGAATGCGTGACTATATCCAGGTCAGTAGGTCGAATCTTGTATATTTTGAGCGCACTCTTTGTCATAAGCATAAGACATTATGTGGGCCCATTCAAGTTGGGGGTCGTTTGGAACACGTTTGATGCAAAAGTTAAGTGGCTTGAGAATGTTGGATAGGGTTAAAAGATTAAACACATTACATAACATCACGCCTTTTATCCCCGAAGGGGGAGGGCAGAGGAGTACATTACGGCACTTAATTCATTGTACAATGTAACACTCACTTCTCACTATTTAGTAGGCCCATGTAATAGGGGGTGAGCATATTGCCATATACCAGGCACAATTCCAGACTTGTAGAACGAAGTCTGGCACTGAGATTTTTTTTAAATACCCAGTAGTACTTTGCCCAACCCAGGAATCAACCTCGAGACTCCTTGACCGGCAGTCGCACCTGCGACCACTCGGCCAACGAGGCAGTTTAAAAATTAGAAGATTAAGTTAATAAAGACATTATGGGAATTGGGTGTGTTTCGTTATGTCATTTGGAATCGAGATACATTATCAATTGATTAATAGTAGATGTTTTAATAAACACTAATTTAAGACGAAATAGTTCTATGTTTTTTTAATTAATGATATTTACAGTAAGTACAGGATTATCCATTTAAAATAGCAACCAAAATCCACTAAGGTTTAAACTTGTGCTATCATGAATCAATTTCAAAATCAATTTTTTTTATAAAATGAGGTTTTACAAATACATTTATATACGTTAATTACGCTACCAATATAAACAATCTAGAATGAATAAACACATTCCTAAATAATACTTATGTATTACTGATTTAGTTTACATTTTATGTTCTTTTGCCTTATATTATTTTTTATTTATGTTATCAACACAGACACGAAATAACTACACTTGGGAGTAAAGAAAGGAAGCCATTAGGGTGTCGTCTTCAACATTTCTTAATAAATATTTTCTGATACTGCCTCATTGGCCGAGTGGTCGCAAGTGCGACTGCCGGGCAAGGGGTCTCGGGTTCGATTCCCGGGTCGGGCAAAGTATTACTGGGGTTTTTAAAAAAATCTCAGTAGTAGCACGGAGTCTGGAAATGTGCCCGGTATATGGCAATAGGCTCACCCCCTATTACATGGGACTCATAACATAAATAGTGAAAAGTGGGTGTTACTTCTATGTGCACCTCTGCCTACCCCTTCGGGGATAAAAGGCGTGATGTTATGTTGATGTTATGTTATTTTCTGATACAACCATTTTATTAATTGGTAACATACTTATGTCATATAAAAGGCAATTTAGTAATTTTATTAAAATAAGAGCATGTTTTTGTAAAAGGAATAATCTTTTTTCAAATTATAGAGGGTTCGATAAAATGAAACAAATGCTAGTGGCTCCGTTTTCTATTACATATTTGTATTATGTACACGGTACAAATGAAACTAAGGACTAAGGGGAAGGCCTTTGTCCAGCAGTAGACGTCTTTCGGCTGGTGATGATGATGACGATGGAAATGAAACTCTAACCGTCTTGCATTGCAACTACTCTGCCAAAATTAATATAAGATGGCATGTCAGATTGCGTCATAGGTACCAATTGAACCAATGTCTACGATATTTAAAAACCTGTGTCATTAATTTTAAGTACTTTTCGTTCCAGGTCCAAGTGAAGATTTGTATCATCAGAATCTGACAGATGTACGGCGAGACATGGCCAACAGGATATTAGCAGTAGTTCAGAAACAACCTTCCATATCTGTAAGTATGATAAAATTCTGATAGAATACATTTGTCACACTTCTACTCTTGTCGCGGGTGTAAGACGACTAATTCATAAAAACCGGGCAGCAGTGCTCTGTATTAATACTGAACCTCAGGAGAGATCAGAGAAGGCTCATCTCAGCATGAAAACATGATTCATTGTTAGCACTTTCACTTTATTATTTGGGTTTGTAGTTAAGTTCTAAATGACTGCTAATAGGTATAGTTGTAGTTAGATAATAGTGTATTATAATTAAGCAACATCCAGTTTTGTTTCTACTAGTTAAAACAAGTAGACAATGCAGAGAAAATTTTATTGATAAGAATTTAAATTAAATAAATATATACAACTTAAAATATAAATACTTAACTAAAAACTAAAGTATTAACACCTTAAAGAAATACGCCAGTCTTTTGCGCACCCTACCTCACGATAGCGATGAGGAAAAAATTTTTTTTGGTGCCTTAAGATAACATTTTTATCATTATTACTTTTTAAGGTGTAAATATTTTAGTTTTTAGTTATATACATTTTAAGATAATACAGATAATAATATTGTATGTACCTATAACTTTTTAGAAGACGCGATGCTATTACAAAATTTATAATATAATCTATCTCTTCTATTCACAGGATAGCAAGTTCGATCTGTTTCCTCACATAGAAGAATTTTTGGAAGACTATGAAGTAAACTACAGCGAAATCATGAAACACCTCAATACAAATAATACAAGAAAGAAAACTTGGACCTTCTGGAACGCCATGTTCTACTCTGGCACTATATTCACCACTATAGGTAATGTATTATTATTGATACACATATTTAAAGAATAACCAACGTATCAAATGATATTAAAATATTTTCTCCTATGTTGTAAGCGCGCCGCTACCAACAGCAAGTACCAATGTGACTTTTTCCGAGTTATATGTACTTTCTAAGATTATTTAGACATAACTGGCAAGACAAACGGTGAAGGAAAACATCGTGAGGAAATCTGGAATTATTAATTTATAAAAATAAGTTTGAAATTGCTAACCCGCATTGAGCAAGCGTGGTGATTAACCCGTGCGTCGTGTGTCTAAATCTATTGTGTCTCATATAAAGGCATACAAGTGGTTAATGCTTAAACGTTCTGCGTGTAAGAAGAGGCCTTATTTTTTTATGGCATAAGCCGGTACACGAGCAGACGGATCACCTGATGGTAAGCAATCGGCGTCGCCCATGGACACCTGGAACACCAGAGGCGTTACAAGTACATTACCGGCCTTTTGGGATTAGAAGTTTGAGGATCATTGGGGATTCAGGAATTGGGGAGATTAGGGAATGGGAGAGTAATTGGGCCTCCGGTAACCTCACTCACACGACGAAACACAACGCAAGCGTTGCTTCACGTCGGTTTTCTGTGAGGCCGTGGTATCACTCCGGTCGAGCCGGCCCATTCGTGCCGAAGCATGGCTCTCCCACACTTAAATCTTCAAGTGGTTAATGCTTAAACGTTCTGTCTGTGAGAAGAGACCTTTGGTCTGCAGTGGCCACTTATGACTACTATTGATGTGTGTGTGTGTGATATGTACAACACGGCCGCGTTTACAAATATACAATTTTACGTATACACATGGTACCCAGAACATGAATGACAATTTGTCGATAACGCAATGAGTTGTTCTGTGTGGAAATGCAACTCGCGACACGTTGCACATCCTACTCAAAGTACATACAAACGCCTACGAATTTTGTTGTAGCAAGTTGTAGTTTTACATGAGATGTTATTTTGTCAGGCGTTTAAATAAATAAAGATTTTAAATATATTTAGGTGGAAATGAGTAAGATTTATTAGAGATTATATTTTTTTACTCTACACTAAACTTTAAGTGTAAATATCAACATAAAATCACGAATATATTGTTAACACATAATCCGAAGTTTTGTTTAAATATAAATGCAAATAGGTATGTGTTACACTTCTAATTTCGAGAGTTTTAAGATACTTCTTTTAAAAAGTAAACATTATGCAATTAATTATTACGAAAGACTATTTATAAATAATCTAAATCTTTCTGATTATCACGAGAAAGATTAAGATTATCATCTATCGCAGAATTTCTCAGAATATTATCGATGTACGTGATTAAAGATTGTAAATATTATACAATTTTATATAAGTATGTATGCATGTCTTTATTTAACGCGTTACGTACATACGCAGTACATTGCAATTCCAACATAAATTGACCTTCCCCAATCAACATGTTCCAACAAGCACTTACTGAGATTTCTTTACGAAGTGTCAAATAACGATGGTCACTTCTGTCGAAAACATTTTCTAGAGTACGAATGCAAACGTGAACCGGACTGAATTTAGGTGTAGATGATTTAAATTTGGAACGCCGCCCGGCTGGCTTGGCGCTCTTCCGCCCAGTATTCCCGCGTCACAAACGGACAGCGTGTAAAACGAAAACTGTGACAACATTTACCATTGAAAGTTCCTTACAAAATACGTGATAGTTTAATAACCAGTTCAACCCCGAACCCTATCTGTGATAACGTTTCAATGAAGATGTACTGCAATTTCTTATCAAATGGATGTTTGTTTACGTCCGACTTGTGGGATTTCCAAAATAGATTCTTTTATTAGAATTTTGCGTCGACCCCGTTACAATAAAGAAGTTTGTTGTTGGGTCGTTAAAGAGAGGTAAGTTTACACTTATTGAATTCTTATCATCGTTGGCTTGCCACATCCTATTTGTGTCATAATATTGGCAGGAGATTTATTATTCACTGCCAAGCTTGATATCGCCCCGTCTTTTTTCGATTGAGTTCAATTCCCTTAGTCTATTGTGAGCAGTTGTGATATCACAACTTTTTTTTTTCAGTTGCGGTGTGAGTGAAAGTTGGTGGTGATGAGTGATAACGAAACTGAAGAAAAAGTGAAGTTGACACTGACAATTCCTGCCATAAAAGCAGAAACTGAATCACAAACTCTAGGCCAACTGGTGTTAAAATCGCCTGAAATAAGACTAAACGAAGACGAAATCATGGAAGACGACAGGCAAAATATGTCCATAAGGAAAAGACGAAATCTGTCTAAGAACAGAGGTCAAGCGGCAAGGCAGAGAGAGAAAACTCCCGAGCCCAGTCGAACTTTAATGCCTCACGAGGACACACCAACTTCAGAAGATGAGGAACCTAAGCTACCGCGTCCAAATTCTAGAGAAATTGAAGCTGACAGTACATATGAAGAAATGAAACGTCTAGTACAAGAAAAAGCTAATGTAAAGGATCCTGTATATGATTTGGATACAGACGAGGTCCTTGAGCAAAGAGCTATGGCTGCTCAAGAACGTAGACGCAGGAGTATTTCACCCTTTGCCATACCAGACAAAGAGGAACTAGCAAGTCTCCTCGAACGCAAAGGAAGTTTCATAGATCCCACTAATAAACTATTAACAACTAATTATGCTCTGACCCCAAAAGACGAAGATACAACACGACGTAATTCACTAACTATCGAACCTCCAAAAGAACTTAAACATACTCTCTCTACTCCTTCTCCTGTTAGCAGCTCACCAAAAGAACAATTTCCTTTTCCTTCAACTCCAAAAAAACTGGATGAAATTGTTTACCCTGATGAAAAGAAACCAGAAGAAAGTACGAAGAAGTTAAAAACTCCTGTAAAAAAGGACAAAGAAGAAGTATTTACATTTGAAGATAAAGATATTAAGCAACCTCTTAAAGCAACCACGCCTAAACCAGAAACACCAGCAACACCAGGCGAACTTGTAACGAAAGTGATCCAAATAGAAAGAACTCCAAGTAGAAAATTGGTGGCAGAAAAAAAACCTAATGTGGAAGTTCGAGAAAGGATTGTAAGAACACCTAGTAGAAGATTATCAACTGATATTAAACCAATTGTTGTGAAACAGCAACCTACTAAGCAAGCAAAGGAAGAAACACAAAGTCGGGCGCCACCGGTGAAACCGGCCCGCAGCAAATCTGCTTCAAGATTTGGGGTCAGTTTTTACATGAAAATATTTTTAATATTAATAATCGCTTTGTTAATAGTACTTTATTCCCTATTGACATAATCCCAAACCATGCAATACAATGATCACTATGTAAATAGGTTTTCATATTTTTGTAGAATGAGAGAAGCAACTAATAATTTATCCATAATAACATTTACAGAATAAAACTAGTGAAAGTGAGATGAGTGAGGATCAACATAATGCCAAAGTAGAAGCTTCAAAGCGAAGGGCAATGCCTACACCACGTCGGTACACGAAGAATAAAATGTCGCCTAAAGTAAATCGTTCACAGTCAGTTCACCGCACTCAAGATGTAAGCGTAATTGATAAAACGGGAACAGGTATGAGTCAAACTAGTAGAGAAATCATTGAGTTGATGCAAAAGGCCCGAGCCAGAAGCTTGTCCATGCCTAAAGATGATCCCAGACTTCCACCTGAGTACAAGGAAAGTCACAAAACATTAAAAACACCCAATAAAACGCCTACTAATTTGAGACAGTCCAGATCTCGTGGCGTATCCTGTCCTAAAACTATTCAAATTATCAGTGAGAAGGAAATACTGTCAGGTTTATTGAATAAGAAAACGGATATAGACGAACAAAGTAGACAAAGTTCTGGTTACATTGACGCTAGTCAGTCTGAGTACACATCTAGCTGCTATTCTTCATCTCCGAGTGAAAACGAATTTGAATTCGATTTGTCAGAGCGGACAGCGGAACTAACTCGCAAACTTAATGTACTAAGTCAAGAAGTTGATAAACGAGAGATGATGACAGGTATTATACTAGGACCAGATAATACTAATGATGTCATTAAAACCGAGAAAATCGAACCAAAATCAGGGTTAAGAAAGAGGTCAGTAGCTGATTCGAAAACTAAGAGGGAGCATAAAGAGCCTGCAACAGAGAAAAAAGTTAAGAGAAAATCTCTGGATGCCAAAGATAAAGTAGTTGTAAGATCAAAGTGGAAATTCATTGCGAATTGGCAAGACTTTAAACAAGAGCAACGAGTGCATTACAATAGAATTAAAGATTTGTTGAATAAGTGTATTTGCGACCTGCTCATACTGATCATAATGTGTGGTCTAGGAGGAATGATGTTTAAAAGTTTAGAAGGATCATTTGAGAACGCATATAAATGTAGTACAAGGAATGTTAAAAGAGATTTTATAGAGAATCTTTGGAGAGGCAGTCATAATCTACGTGAAGAAGATTGGAAATCAATGGCAAGGAAGAAGTTGTTCGAGTTTGAAAATCAGCTGCACACAGCCCACGAAGCCGGCGTCACGTCATACAGCGGCCAGCCGTCTTGGAACTTTATGAACTCATTCGTATACTGCTTGACGTTAATTACAACTGTCGGTAAGATTACACTCATTATAAACATATTGATGCAATTATGTAATATTAGTACTACGGCATAAGTTGTAGGGTATGTATCGTTTATCATGTGGTGGTATTGTCTGTTCTATATCGATCATTTCTATATCGAAAACTAATTAAAGTAATAGAGTAGCTTGAGTAATGGACTTTACTTAAAGTAAATAATGTAGGTGTAAATAATATTTTCAATTATTTTCTGCAGACATATCAGAACGTTCTAGTTTGCTATTAAAAACGTAAATCAAGTGTACTTTTTTCATTTATACTTCCCAAGTACCTAGCTATTAATAGTTTGTTGTTTTGTGTAATCATCAGTTTTATTATTTTCTTTATCTTATTAGCTTTATCACTGTAGACGCCTTATTCTTTGTAAAGTTCAGTACTAAAAGATTTTTCACAATCTTCTTTTGATTTAATACCTATTTATATATTCCAGGTTATGGCCACATAGCTCCAAAGACGGTATATGGCCGCGTAGCGACGATAGTCTACGCTACTATCGGTATACCTCTGTTCCTGATCCTCTTAGCTGACTTCGGTAAACTCTTCACGAGGGTCATCAAGTTCTTCTGGGCTTTCATTAGAAGATTCTACTATACCAGGAGTTGCAGGAAGGTCAGGAGGACCATGCCAGTGCAGGTAATATTCAATTTTTGTTTTGTCCCCACATTTGTCGTCAACTGAGGGCTTCAGTTATTTTACAAGTTGAACAAAATATTTACATATATCACCTACTTAATGTTATCAAAGTAATGATAATCGTAATCTATTAATGAGAAAACAACTTACACTGCGATTAAGAGCTATTGGTATTTGTTATGATTACTGAAAAATAAAGTCAAAACACTGATCAAGTTTTGTATAAGGTTTTAGATTTTAATATCAATAGCAGAAGCACAAAGTCTAGTATTGTGCATACAATGAGACGAAATAATTATGTAGATATCTATACCTATATGCATCATGTCGTCGTCGTCGATTTTAAGTTACGCTTATGTATAGTTCTGTCACTACAAATCTTTGTAAAATGACAGAGATGGTACGATATTTAAGTACAACTTAAAATTGAGTAGCCTTTCAGGGTTTGGGCGTAAATGATATAACGTTCCATATTGCGAGTTAACAAGGTAAATTCCATTGCTCGCCATCCCTTTCATTCTTGGTTTTAGCTGTAATTACGTGGCTGACCGCACGCTTCGCTGGCATGCGCCACGCATTATAGTATTTAAGCCGTATTTATCCTACATAAACGCAGGCTGGTTAGTCGTATGGTCGCACGAACCGACAACATGATGAACGCACAACCAGCTTGAATAAAGGATTATTCCATGTTTCCATTTTATATGACTGCCTCGTTGGCCGAGTGGTCGCAAGTGTGACTGCCGGGCAAGAGGTCTCGGGTTCGATTCCCGGGTCGGGCAGAGTATTACTGGGTTTTTAAAAATCTCAGTAGTAGCACGGAGTCTGGAAATGTGCCCGGTATATAGCAATAGGATCACCCCCTATTATATGGGACTCATAACATAAATAGAGAAAAGTGGGTATTACTTCTGTGTGCTGTGTATAAAAAGCGTGATGTTATGTATGAAAAAGTGTGCTGATGAGATGAATCAATTACCATCAGTTAAGCTAAACTATAATGTTTCTTTCCGTGGTAAAAGTTAAAATTTCTCACTACTAAACTGACATTCACATTATTTAAATTTCAGGAAGTAATGAAAGGCCTGAACATTGTCTACGATGTCGTTCGGCGTCCGTCGCAAATATTCAACGAGGAAGATATAACAGAAGAGGGTCCTAGTGGCCAGCCACCACTCGTCGGGAGGAAGTTGAGTGAAGTTCCCCCACCACTACCACCAAAACCTGGCACTCCAAGAGAAATAGACAATGAAACTGATCTTGAAACTCCAGCACCATCTGTCTTCGAAATAGACGATGAGTTTAACCTACCGATTTCCGTCGCCGTAATCATTTTACTTACCTACATCAATCTCGGAGCATTCGTCTACAGCTTATGGGAGAAATGGACCTTCTTCGAATCCTTCTACTTTATATTCATATCGATATCCACAATCGGTTTAGGTGATTTAGTCCCTGACCATCCCATGTTCATGATGGCGTCTATTCTATACTTAGTGTTCGGATTTGCTTTAACCTCTATGTTCATTAACGTAGTACAATTGAAACTGTCTAATACATTCAAGCAGGCTAGTGCTAAGCTCGGGGCTACAATTGGTCTGAAATTCGCTGAGGAGGATGGCAGTCTTGTACCTATAACTCCACCTGCAACAGAAATAGTTCCTGTACATAAACCAAGAACTGAGACAGACGACAGTAAAAGCAAAGAAACTGACGATGATGATAATAAGAATAGGTAATTAGATTTTATAATAATAATTATTAATAGAAAAGTATTTATTAATAAAATCGTGTCTGAAGAGAAAGTATTCGATTTGCTATAGAAGTATTTTTGGAAATGGGACAAGAAGCATGAATGTAATAGATTTTACGAATAATCAAATACACAGACCGTGCCAAAATGTATATTGTCGTTGCCATAAAGTTGTAAGAACCGATGAATTGTTAGTAGGTAATTAGGTATTATGTAATTAAAACCAATCTACTAATGTGTTTGTTGCTGTGTGAAAATAAAGATTTTTTACACATTTCTCTTGTTCTATTTACTTATTTTATGTCGGAATTTGATATAGACGAAATAACTGGCTATCAATTTACATTAAACTTAAGTTTTACCGAAGTTCGATCTCGCTATTATCTGACGGCTTCCGTTAAAGTTCCAGTAAATTGATGAAACTAAGTATTAATTTTGTTAGGAAGTACTTAGGTAATATCGATTGGTGTTTCTCTACTACCATTACGTGAACTAAATTACCTTTATAAATTGCCAACGTTCAGAGCAAATGCATTACTGAGAATTTTAAAATTGAATATCAAGATTTTGATAGTCGTGGTGGCCCGGAGGTTTAAGACGCCTGCTTCACATGCATGAGGGTGGGGGTTCGAAACCTACCAACGGCAAGTACCAATGTGACTTTTTCCGAATTATATGTACTTTCTAAGATTATTCAGACACCACTGACAAACGGTGAAGGAAAACATCGTAAAGAAATCTAGGTTTATAATTTCTAATTATAAGTTTGTAATCGCCAACCCGTATTGAGCAAGCGTGGTGATTAATGCTCAAACCTTCTCAGTGTGAGAATAGGCTTTGCAGTGTGCATTTATAGGCTGTTGATGATCAAGATTTTGATTCCATATAAATTTATAGTATGCTAAATGTTAAGTTCTATCTTCAAGAAATAGCAAGTTCAATAACTTGGGAACTCTAAATGCATGCCTGCAAGTACGCAAGAAGTATGTCGACAAAGCACTTAGTGACAGTAACTCAAGTTGAGCGCAGATGGTCACTTGGCTTTCTGGTGACGTCATTTTGTTTTAAAGAGAAGTTTCTAAGTGATGTGAGTTATTGTAATAAAGCTACGTCTACTTTGACATGACGCCCCTGGAACCGCACGAATATACGACGTCACATCTTTTCAACCTCTGAAGGAGCAGACAGAACTGTCCCTGTATATCGTTAAAACCACTTTTCCCAGTTATGTTAGCCGATTGCGAGCTGCGCGCGTACATTTAAAATTATTATTTATACGAAACTTGTATAAGTTGAGCACCAAACTATTGCCGTAACTGTACGTGTAGGTACGTGCAGCTCGCGGGCAGCCCGCAAACGGCTCGCAAGCGGCACATTCGCGGCACATTTCCCAATTGTGAACGCACCCTTATAAGTCACGCATTTTGAGGGTAAGCCTGTTGCTTATGAATTCACCGAATGAAAACATAAGATAATTTAGGTTCAGAAAGAATTCCCATTTTGAAAAGCATCGCAATTAAAGTTTTTACTGTAAATCATTGCCAGTTTGTGTTACCCGAAGGGTGTCTTAAGTGCGTTGGTGACCTGGGCACATGAAAGTCGTGAAAACATTCAAGCTCGAGTGAATACGTTGCATATGAGTAGGCATACTTCATCGTAGGTCACATCATTGCTTACCATCAGGCGAGATAGCGTATATATAAAGTGAAAGAGTTACTTTGTTTAAAGCCAAAAGAATTACAATAAACTTTGGCCCTTTCTTCCAAATTATTCCGCCCTCGCTTGAGATTGACATGCAAAAATGTTCTTTGTGATCATTAGAATTTCAGACGCCTCAATATCTTTTCAAATTCAAATGCTGTTTGGGGTCCGTCGGGTATCGAAGGTCGTGTTTCACTTTTTCTACGATATCTTTCATTTTGATGAATGAAACCGCGATCTTGAATTGTGCCTAAAAATAAATTGAAAGGAGCAACTCGTCAATGGGTTGTGATAAGTCTATGAAGCGTTATTTACTGTTACCTATTCAACCGTATAGAAAAAATATAAATTTATGTTGGTGCAAATGGGCTGACTTGACTTAAGTACCACGGCCTCACGGAAAATCAGTGTTGTTTTTGCTGCATTAGTGAGGTTAACGGAAGAAGTGGAATTCCCCTCCCCAATCTCCCCAATCTCAAATCCCCAATCTACAAACCTGCAAAAGGCCGTCCAATTACTTGTAAGTCTGTATTGCGAATGTCCATGGGCGGACAATGCTTACAATCAGGTAATCCATTTGCTCGTCTGAAAATCGCAATTAATCACATAGCCATTGTCCTAAACATTCAATCGTAAAAGCCAAAAGCTTTAAACAACAAAAGCCAGAATTTAGTATATTACACACACATGTGCTGCCATCTAGTGTGTCTGCCTTTCCCATTCAAGAGAGCTTACACAATTGTCAGAGCATCAATCCAATACACAATGATATGGCTTCTCATTGTGTTAGTGATGATAGTGTACAGGAGCCATTATCAGAACAATTCATAGGCAATCCAGGTAGTAAGATAACATTAATTTATGCCTGAATGAGACGGGAATGCTTTGTATGGTTAATTAAATAACCTGAATGTGTTATATATGCATTGGTGGAACTAAAATTAGAACTAATAGTTTAAAGTTTGGGTGATTTTTTTGACGGTTCACCTGATGTTAAGCAATCAGCGCCGACCATGGCCCAAGGAGTAAAAGGTGCGTTGCCGGCCTTTTAAAAAGGAATATGCATTTTTCTTGAAGGTTTGAAGGTCGTATCGGTTCGGAAATACCGCCGACGTCAAATCATTCCACAGTGTTGCTGTGCGAGGCAGAAGGCTATGTGAGAAGCACACAGTTGTGGCCTGCCAACCATCTATAGTGAGGTATTATTTATTTTATTATTATTGCTGTACGTCTCTTTATTGCCAAGGTAATACAAACTTTTATGAGACCACTCGCTCAACATGCATCGTTAATTTCATTTCTGGAACAGGAAAATTAATTCAAGTGAAATAGCGGTAAAGGAAAAATCCTAATTGACAATTCCAGTATTCGTTCGCATTCCTATACTCGCAGTTACTAATGAAGTAGTCAAAAATATACGGAATAATTAACTCGCATTGTTGGTCTCCCACAATTTTAAAACAGACAGACTCAACACAAAAATAAACAAATGAACAACGGTTTGGAGCAACATAGATTCGAACGAAGAGAATTTAAAAAATAACTCGTTGCCAACCGCTTCGAATTTCGAATGCATCGTCTGACAGCTAGCCAGCCGTTTGGTAATGTAGACTAGATTATAATTTTTTATTTATTTCGACGAACATGCAAAAGAAATTGATGAACGTAGATTAAAGGACAGAGGTATGCCAGGAACGTACCATTGAGCATTCCATTGTCTAACGAGATATAGGAGCCGATAAGTTGAACCTATTTAAAATTATGTTTATATTATAACTTTCGGCAGGCCCAAAAGGAGATGGCGGTATGAGTTATTAGACATCTATGACAAGGATTGGCCGCAAAAAGCTTTACATAGAGAGGAGTGGAAGGAGGGTAGGGAGGCCTTTGCCCTGCAGTGGGACGATCATGGCTGAAAATAAAATAAAATCAATAAATAATAACTTTCGGCTTACTCACGTAAGTAACTGTTTGCCGAGAAACCCGACTAATCGCCGCGTCGTGTATCGCGAAATGCTGCTCATAAATATGAGCCTGTAGTATGGCATGAAACTAGTCGAGTTCTTCGCGAACAGTTACGTGATTAAGCCATACGTGATTATAATTCATTAAAGATTATTTACCATGATAAAGTATTAAACTTTCTTTTATTATATATTTCTTTTAGTGCTATTAATAAATAACCTTCCACAAATATACATCCATTCAAACACATTCCATTGTTCACCCTGTCATAAGGCCACAGTCTATTCAGACCGGTTCAAGGAAACTCCCAACGCCATATTCCTAATTACCAACGATCAAGGTCAGAACAACCCTCTAGCTTGAACATTCTCTCACAATAGGGGGCATTGACCTTCAAAACGTCAGATATCTAATGATCCATTGCAAACATGGATTCAGTTCTATATGGAAAATGTTGTGGAATGTATCCAAATAGTCACTAAATGTGGCTTTAGAAATATAAAAGAAAGAAAGAAGAAGGAGAAAGAAAAAACATTTATTTCACAAATAGGCAAACGAATACAAAGATTATAAAAAAATATAGATATTTAAATAATACAAAATAATAATAATTAACTTAAAAGGGGAAAAGACAAGGACAAAACAACAACAAAGGATAACAAAACATATATGTACAATCCAACAATAACAGATATTAAATTTAAAAAACAAATTAATATGATTACGATTTTTACAAAGTTCTGTACCTATGTTTTAAAAAAGAACCTGGCTATCTCTCTAATCAGCCCGTCGTAAACGCTGACACAATGTGTTTTGTGTTGTGTCTCATATACTGACAATCAAGCGGTTAAAGAACCCCAAGCATGCGGCTCTTTCGAGCACAATTAACAAAGATGATGAGACTAGCTAGCGTTTGTTATTAGATGTTTTATTTTACTCAAGAATTCATTTTTATCATCACGTCTGAGGCCCTTCATAAGGGTATTATTGGTTTTGCAGAAGATGCATCTTTTACTCCATCGGTTATGTCTGATTGTCTGGTATAATAGGCCTATTTAGGTTCGATAACACATACCAACAGACGGACAGTAGTAAGCATCGTTGTTACTAATAGTAGTATAAAAATGTATAAATACTTTTTTTATAAAATAGCAATTTTCTGGAGTGACATCAGTTGTATAGCTTGATATTGTTTTTAATACGGATGGAATATGGAAGTGTGCCCGGTATATGGCAATAGGCTCACCCCTTATTACATGAGACTCATAACATAAATAGTGAAAAGTGGGTGTTACATTGTACAGTGGCATAATGTACACC